AGGGAGGGAGGGAAAGGAAAGGAGGCAGACAGGCAGGCAGGCAGGCAGGCAGGCAGGCAGGCAGGCAGGCAGGCAGGCAGGCAGACAGACAGACAGACAGACAGACAGACAGACAGACAGTGGGGTTCTGAAAGCCAAGAGAAGAAATATTTCAACGATAAAGGAGTGACCAACTCTGCCAAATACTGGTGAATTATCAAATAGTTAAGGATTGAGAATTCACTGTGGAATTTAGCAACCTGGAATCTCTGGCAGCCTTGATGAAAGCATCTATACTGGAATGATGAGGGTACAAGCGACTCTTAAGTGTGTTCTAGAAGAAACGAGAGAAGAGTGTTTGGAGACAGCAAGAAGAGAGAACTCTTTCTGGGGGTGGGTAGTCTTGAATGTTATACTTGGGGCCTGGGTGCTGTCCCTGAGCTTTTGTACTCAAGGCTAGCACTTTACCACTTGAGTCACAGCTCCATTGTTGAATTTTTTTTTAAATTTTCATTCTGTGGTTTATTGAAGATAAAAATCTCATGGATTGGCCGTCAGTGGCTCACGCCTATAATCCTAGCTACTCAGGAGGCTGGGATCTGAGGATCTCGGTTCAAAGCCAGCACAGGCACACTCTTATCTCCAATAAACCACCAGAAAACCAGAAGTGACACTGTGGCTCAAGTGGTAGAGCACTAGCCTTGAGCTAAAGGTAAGGGACAGTGCCCAGGCCCAGAGTTCAAACCCCATGACTAACCAAAAAACAAAAACAAAAAACAAACTCATGGATTTCACTGCCTGGGCTGGCTTTGACACATGATCCTCAGATCTCTGCCTCCTGAGTAGCTAGGATGATGGATATGAGCCACTGGTGCCTGGGAAGAGAACTTTTTAAATTTTGTTTTAAGGAAACAAATAAAACAGTGTAGGAATCCTAACTAAAGGGATATGTGTGTGTATATTAAAGGGCAATTCCAGTAGAGAGAGGGAAAAAAGTGATCAAAGAAGAAAAGAGCAAGCCAGGGATGCTGGTGGCTCATGCCTACAATCCTAGCTATTCATGAGGCTGAGAGGATTGAGGTTCAAAGTCTGTTGAGACTCTTATCTTCAATTAGCCACCAGAAATTGGAAGTGGTGCTGTGACTCAGAGTGGTAGAGTGCTAGCCTTGAGCACAAGTGCTCAGGGACAGCACCCAGGCCCTGAGTTCAAACCCTACCACTGACCCAGAGGGGGAGGGAGAAAAAAGAAAAAGAAGAGGGCAGAAGTACTGATCTACACCCTTAATTGCAAGGAAAGAGAAGATCAATGTATAAGAAGAAGAATAGCCTTAGATAGGAACAGGGATCACTCATCCAAACAACTCTTGTAAAAGTACAGAGGAAGACACATGGAAGCTTGTGAACAATCTGTTCTAATTGTTTCTGCTTCTGAGTTAACTGTGAAGCAAAGTCTACAACCAGTTAAGAATACTATGAGAGGAAGAAGACAGTGAAGGCTTAGGGAGAAAAGACATAAAACTATTATGCAGGAGTTTCAAAAACTTGAATAAGATCAATCAACAGAACCACACAGGTATATTCATGGAGTAGACAGATGGATTTTAACAGATTTTGCAAGAGCAGAATGAAGAGAGAAGCAAAACGTTGAAGATACAAAAAGGGTGCAAAGTATGTGATTATAATGTTAACCTTGTAATTTAAACTAGGAAAGATTGAAATGAGAATGTAAGAAGGAAGTGAAACTCAGAAAACAGTGATAGGATCAGTAGTTGCAGGACTGCTGATTTGGAAAAACTGTCAGCTAGGAAGAAGATAAAGGAGAGGAAACGAAAGGCATTCTTGAAATTGAGATTATGGGGAAGGAGAGGCTGAGCTAGATGTTGGATAGGACCAGTAAAGGATATAGGAAGTCAAGATCCAAAAAGCTAGATTCTGGGAGGTATCTTTTACAAGAATATAGCAGTCACGAAGAGCTGTCAAATGACTAGTAGTAATGGATTAGAGATAATGTGCCAGAAACTAAAAGATACAAGAATGAGAGGTTGTAACTGAAGGGTGAGGAAACTCTATAGTCTGATGGCATGAAATTCAAAGATAGGATTTATTTTGGTATATATTTTTTATTGTAAAGCTACTATACAGAGGGGTTACAGTTACATGAGTAAGGTAATAAGTACATTGCCTATCAAGCATTGTTACCTCTTCTTTTGTTTTTCAGGGAAAAGGGAGAAGAAAGTGTCTGGAAATAGGAATGAGGATGAAAGAAGATAACATGCCCTCTCTAGGTTCAGTAGTACAAGAGAAAGAGAAAACATTCACTACTTAGGAAGGCAACGGGAGAAGCAATATCTTTAGAGGATGCTTTTAGGTTGGAGAAGCAGCTAGGGATATAAGTTTAAAGATATACATTTTGGATTTACATGTCATGCCAAATGCATTACTATCATGTCATCTAATGTTCAACCAAACAAACAGCCATCTGTTTTAAGGCTGGAGGGAAACCCAGATGAACATACTGACAAGCAATTTGCACTAACCTGTTGTTTTAAGGAATTTTTATAATTATTTACATTTTGTTTTTACTATAAATGCTTTGAACTCAAATCTCTTTTCTACCCCTATACATATATACACATACTCATAATCATACAGTATTTTATCTCTTCTTAGTCTGTACCTTGTAAGGATCCTCTGGATCTACCCAGGCCACATGAAACATATGACGAATTTCTTCTGCCAATCCAATTCTTGCTCCACTATTGGCTGCTACATAGATGCGTGGGATTCCTTCTGCCCTGGCAAGTTCAGAAGCTCTGAGAAACAGCAAGTCCTCCTGGGGCCCAAAGGACCCAATTCGGTATGTGATATCATTGCCAATAACAATTATATCCCGGCCTTCTGGATACTCAGGACTTTTAAGGGTCATTTTCCAAGCTACCATGCCAATCTATAAAAATACAAATAAATGAATGCAAGTTTCTTACATGCAAAAATATTCCCAGGTTCCTTGATATGTCACTGTAGCTAGACACATCCTTCATGTAAAGATATTCACTGCTAAGAGCCATGTTCTCTACTGGAAACTAGAAAAACAGTCTTCTGTACTGTTAAAAATGTAAAAAAATAAAAAAAAAACAATGCTGAGAACAGCTGGTTTAGTATGTATTCCAAAGACCTGCCTTAATTCTGTCTTTGAGCTTACTCCAAGAAGGTTAAAAACAAAAACAATATCCAACAATAGCAACAGCATAAATGTACTGTGTGAATGAATGCCTTAATAGTGACTACATCCAGAATTCCCATTTCATTAACCTGTATACTAAGGCACTATTCCAGCTTTCCTGAGATTCTTTCCAAGAAACCTTTAACATAAAGTTGTATAGAAAGAGTAGCACCTCTCATGGACTATATGAGTTTTCTCATTCTTATCCTCTAGTATTTGGTAGGAATAATAAAAGCATTCCTTACTGGCTTGCTCCAGGTATCTTCCATTTCTGCAAGGATTTAATACTACTCAACACTATCCTTTTGAGCATCTCTTGCTGCTTTCTCCCAGCACCACAAAAAAACAAAGACTGCAACAGAACTAATCTCTTGCTTCACTATGATATATGTAAATTTCTGCTCTCTGTTCAGCAACATCTGACTAGCCACACAAATAAAGAATATAGACTTAAAAGGCAGAGGTGACATGTCTCTTCCCAAACCTTCATGACCTTTTTAATCCCCTTCTATATGAGAACTGGTTAATCCTTCTATGTGTTTTTGGTAGTCTCATTTCTTTTCTATTCACTTACACCCCAGTCACAGCTGCAGTTTTTCATATCAGCCTGTCTAGGTGCTATATACCTGGAGAAGTAATGCTTCCCATTCTTTCTCTCCCCATTCTTCTCTTTCTTTCCTCTTTACCCCCACCACTCATGCCCAAACACAAAGCCTACCAGATGAGCATCCTGGTATTGCCTAATGGAGCCCAGTCACATCTGCAGCCTTGGCCCCTCATCCCCAGGCTGCTGCATATCACCTCATTGGGGAACCAGCCATCAAGAAGGGCCATTAACAGATGTAAATAGCAGCATCCCTGGAAAGCCACATGCATCACCCAGACTAAACCCGGCCAGTGATCATAAGCTCTGAGTACACATTCCTCAATCCAATTGCACATCCACTGTAATAGGCTGGTTGAAGCTTTCCACATGGCTATTTGTGATTCTCTGAATTAAGAAACACACACACACACACAACACACACACACAGATAAATATAAGCTATTTGATACATCATACCATTGGCCAAACACAAATCAAAATGGATATAACACACTAGAAAAAATCCAATCACTTTCTGAGATAAGGTATTACTCTATCTGCTCATTAAAGACAGATAAGGGAAGGAGAAATGTATCATCTAAAAAATAGCACAGAGAAACCTCAAATATCAGGATAATTTTGGTTGTAGTTCTTGAGAAGCTAGTTAATATAATGCATGTGTGGGAAGAAATATTTTATCTGCCTTCTCACATGCTTCCCCAGTCGAAATGTTCTTTTGTTTTTAGGAAAGAAAAGCTGTTTCCTGACTGCTTTCTTCTAAATGCATTTGTAGTTAGGAAGATTAGGTTTTACACCAAATTTTATGCTATATTAACCTTAGCCACCTAAGTTAGAAGCAGCTTTGATACAAGCCCTAAAGAATCTATGTTAGAATTTGCATGCTAATGTAAACATTGTGACTATGTGGCACTAGACAAGCAAATAATACTCTTACATTTTGTTAGTACCTGGGGACTCTGTGTCACTTGGACAGTCAGTTCAGCAATTGGCCAGGTCATTATGCTCACAATATTGACTTCTAATTAGGTGTCAACACAACACCACCATATTCTCTCTTCAAAGTGTGTTCCTGACTGACTTCTCCTTGCCCCCCTGCCACCTTCAAAAGCACCATTACAAAACGAAATATGTTATCCCAGTTTTAATAAAGTAAGATTCCTTACTGGAAGAGATTCATTTGAGTGACCACAATGGACAAATACACAAGAATGCATCTGTGACTTGATTTACATTAAAAATCTGAGTTTCATTACTAATCAAACAATAGGCATATGTGGCAAACATGGGCTCTGGGAGGCAACCAACCTTAGATAAATCCATCACTTATTAGTTTTGTGACCATGAGTATGCTATTTAATCTTATTGAGCTTCAGTGTCCCTATGTGCAATATTAAGAAATCTCATGAGTGGGCTGGGAAGGTGGCTCAGTGGTAGAGTGCTTGCCTTGCATGCATGAGGCCCTGGGTTCGATTCCTCAGCACCACATAAGCAGAAAAAGCTGGGTAGTACTGTGGCTCATGTGGTAGGGCACTAGCCTTGAGCTGAGGGACAGCACCCAGGCCCAGAGTTCAGCCCCTATGACCAGCAAAAAAAAAAAAAAAAAAAGAAAAACAAAAAGAAAAAGAAATCTGATGAGTTTGATAACTATTGAAAAGAGAAATCTATTAACTTTTTTTTTTCTTTTGGTGCCAGTCCTGGGGCTTGAACTCAGGGCTTGGGTATTATCCCCAAATTTTGTTGCTTTTTTAAATTCAAGGCTAGTACTTACCACTAGAGCCACAGCTCCACTTCCAGATTTTTTTGGTAGTTAATTGTAGATAAAGAGTCTCATAGACTGTCTTGCCTTCAAACTGCAATACTCAGATCTCAGCCTCCTAAGTAACTAGGATTACAGGCATGAGCTATCAAGTGTCGGACAGAAATCTATTAACTTTTACAGTTTGCCCCTTTTCTCTCCTCTCGACCTGTCTAAATCTTATCTATTCCAAAAGTTTCATTCAAATTCCATTTCTTCAATAAAGCTTACCCCAGCCTAAAATGTTGTCTCTCTTCTCTGATTTCTAAGACCTTCATGTAGAAAATTTATCTGGTAATAAATAATATACTGCCAAGACTTCTTTTTATCATTCCACATTTTTATTAGTGCATATTAGTTGTACAACATGGAGATACATTACTCATAAATGCACATGTAATTTTCTTAAATGGAGAGAAAAGAGAAAACTCTATGTTTAAGTTAGGAGATCTCTATGTCCAACATCTACCAAACTTACAGGTTTTCTTAATTTTGTCTGTGAGGAAATATTTGCTCCCAACTATTATTATTATTATTATTATTGGCAGTACTGGGGATTGAATTCAAGGCTTCATGCTTGCTAGGCAAATATACCACCACTTGAGCCATGCCTCCAGTCCTGTGATTGCTTATTTTTTGAAGTTCGCAGAAAAAGAAGCAGTATGTTTTTACTAGATCAATTAAGGGAGTATATTTCAGAATAGTGTCACTGCCTTTAATTGCAGTGAAGACGGGTATTGATTATATCACAAATATAAATGTCACTGACCCCCTAAACACAACGTGGTTTCATGGATTGGATACTGAAGCAGGAAAAAAGAAATGAATTACTAGAAAAACTAGTGAGCTAGGAGTAGCCTAGCTACTCAGGTGGCAGAGATCTGAGGATCATGATTCAAAGCCAGCTTGGGCAGGGCAGCCTGTGAGACTCTTTTTTTGGTGGGGGCAGGGAGTGGTCAGTCATGGGGCTTGAACTCTGGGCTTGGGTGCTATCCCTCAGCTCTTCAGCTCAAGGTGAGCACTCTACTGCTTGAGTCACAGTGCCACTTCCGGTTTTCTAGTGGTTTATTGGAGATAAGAGTCTCATGGACTTTCCTGCCCCGGCTGGCTTTGAACCGTGATCCTTATGTCTCAGCCTGAGTAGCTAGGATTCCAATAAATTACGAAAAAAACAAACAAACCTGGAAATGGCATTGTGGCTCAAAGTGGTAAACCTCTAGCATTGAGCACAAAAGGACAGTACCCAGGCCCTGAGTTCAAGCCCCAGGACTAGTTCAAAAACAGAAACAAAAACTTAGTGAAATCCACCCCAGAAGTCTGTACTTTTAATAGATTTCTAACAATTTTAACTTCTTAGTTTTGATAATTATGATTATATAAGATGTGAAACAGGAAGCTGGGGTTGGAGGTATAGTCCAATGGTAGAGAACATGTTTACATATCTATATGCGGGTTGAGGAAACTTGGTGAAGGAAGAAAACTCTCTATACTACCTCTAAAGGGTCAATATTATTTGAAAATACAAAGTTAAAACAATAAATTCTAGGCTAGGCATGGTGAAGCATGCTTCCAATTCTAGAGCTCAGAAGGCAGAGGCAAGAGGGATATAACTTCCAGGTGTGCCTGGACTGCATAAGGAGTATGAAGTCTGTCATAAACAAACAAGCAAGTAAAGAAAATGTCTTGATAAAAAACTTTTTTGAGGGCTGGGAAGGTGGCTCAGTGGTAGAGTGCTTGCCTTACATGCATGAGGCCCTGGGTTCGATTCCTCAGCACCACATAAAGGGAAAAAGCTGGAAGTGGCACTGTGGCTCTAGTGGTAGAGTGCTATCCTTGAGCTCAAGAGCTGAGAGACAGCGCCCAGGCCCAGAGTTCAGGCCCACAACCCGCAAAAAAAAAAAACAAAAAACTTTTTTGAGCCAGGTGCTAGTGGCTCATACCTGTAATCCTAGCTACTCAGGAGGCTGAGCTGAGATCTAAGGATCATGGTTTGAAGCCAGCCCAGGATCATGGTTTGAAGCCAGCCCAGGCAGGAAAGTCCATGAAACTCTTATCTCCAATAAACTACACAGAAAAGGCCAGAAATGGATCTGTGGCTCAAAGTGGTAGAGCACTAGCCTTGAGACAAAGAAGCTCAGAGACAGCACTCAGGCCCTGAGTTCAAGCCTGAGGTCCAGCATGAAAAAAAAAAAAAAAACCAGCGTTTTTACAGAGAAATAAATTGGATAGTGCTGCCACTGTTAGTATTCTGGGAAGACTTATAAAGTGATAGCTATGAAGACTAGAAATAGCATTTAAAAATACTCATGGTGCAATATCACA